ATTAACTATCTTACTGATCGTTGGCGAAATCAGCAGGGTTCTTGCGGTTGGCTTGGTAGTTGGTCTTCTTAGCCCAGTCGTAGATGAGGTAAGCTCCAACAGCCTGTGGAAGATAGTAATACCATTGGTCCCAAACGTAGCTCTTGAAAACCTGAAAGCGATAACATGCGGATCGGTCGAATAAACTGTGCGAGTTACCTTGACGAAAGCTTGGTCGAGGAAACCTTTGAATGCTTTCTGCTCATTTGGGGCGAGAGCGAATCTGTACTCTCCGTAAACCTTCAAGGAACAGTTATCAACTGAACGATACATTCGAACGAACCTTTCCTAGGTTACCAAAATGTTTACCCATGCTCACAACTGATGAACGCATCTTCGGCTGTAACAAGGAGTATAAAATGCCCTTTGTGGTACTACAACGATAAACATGGACGAACAAGGAAGACGAAAAATCCTTTAGTCAAGTCGGGTCTGTTGTTATGTTGTAATACTTATATCCTTTTACAATCAAAAAGTGCATCATTCATAGGGTTCAATTCCTACTGATGTAAAATCATAATTTCTCTACTTCGCCTAGAGGGCAGGTTGCAGACGTTTAAGTAGAAATCTAAGTGCAAAGTACGTAACGAAAATTTTCGAAAAGTTTCTGCTCCGAACTTCTGGGGATCCTAATTAACCTGCCTTACTCTAGCATGGAATATCGGGTTCAAGTAGTATAGTCGAAAAGTTCAAATAAACGACATGTCGGTTTCATTTCTGGTTGATGAACGCATGTGTACGGTTGCTTCTGTTTCATATACCTTCACGTTAGGAATAAGTTCTTACAAAGAAGAAACTTTTTATTTACGATATGGCATGGTACAGGTAAGCAAGCTATAGTTTTGATTTCTCTATGGCTATAGCCATCTGATTAACGACATTTTCAATTTTCTGTTGTTCTGAGTTCTGTCCGAAGGTGCCAATTCGGAATATCTTACCAAAAGTAGGTCCTAACCCACCGGAAATCTCAAAAGGAAAAATGTATCAAGTGTGGATAAAGAATTCGAAATACCTCAATCCCTTCTGCCATCAGATTACTTATGACTAGCTTCCAATCGACGCTTTCAGGAACTTTCACAGTAGTGAGACAAGGTAAACGTATGTTCTGTAAGTACTAATTGTTTTTTTCAATGTTTTCTTGCCCTACTTCCTTCTCCACAAAACACTCCAGACCTTTCTCCTGAAGCTTTTGGTACAAAAATTGGGAGTTGGTTTGATGGCGTTTGACCAATGAGTTGATGCCTTGTTTAGCAACAATTGCTAAAGCTTCTCTCAATGCATAAACAGAAGATATTGGAGCAGTGTGATGATATCTGTAATCACTTGCATAAGAAAGTCGCGGACATAGAGAAAAACCGTTTCATTTCACCGTCGCATCCCCAATAGTTTCCTAACTCGAGACAATCAAAGTAGAATGAACTGACTGGCTCTTTGCGGTTTTTCACCATTTGACTGAAATCGTACCAATGTATGAAAAGATAGGGAAAGCTTTATCATACATTGCTTTGTCGCTGAAAGATATCGGCGCCAATCCAGGTGGAGCGTTCAATACCTTTTGAGTTGCCGAATATACACAATCTACGCCTAACTCATCCATTGAGAATGGAGCTCCTCCTAATGAAGCAACCTATGTGCATATGATTAGTAAAGTTCAACTCAGTTGTACACTAACCGTGTCTACTAGGAAGAGAGTTCCTGTTTTCTCACAAGCGTCTTTGATTCCAGCCAAAGGATGGCAGACTCCTGTAGAACTTTCTCCGTGGCAGACAAAAACAACTTTAGGTTTGTTCTTTTCGATAGCCTGTAATATCTTTGTAGGATTTTCAACTATTTTCATTTTACCTCGCAAATTTGAGGAACGGAAACAGCTTCACCAGGTGGGCATGAAACGACTTGAACATCTAAGCCTAGACGTTTTCCCAAGCTTGTAGCTCGTTCTCCCCATATGCCATTTTGAACAACCAACAGTTTTTCTCCTCTTTCCAGAAGGTTTAGAAGAGCACATTCCATACCGGCATGTCCTTCAAACCTTGTGTAACACAAGAATTCCTTATTTTCCTACCTGTGCCACTAACAGCAAACGTATAGGCGTTTTTGGTTTGAAATACATATTGCAGTCCAACTCTTACATCAGACATGACCTTGACAAACTCAGGATGTAGATGTCCAAGTAAAGATAAACCCTGAGTCTGAGCAACCGAGTTAGGCATGTTTGATGGTCCTTAATCAAAGGTAAGAGTGCTGCTTAATATGAAGACTACCTGGACCAAACAACAGTCTTGGAGGAACTTGCATCTCGGTAAGAAGACAACTTGGAGGTTCAGGTACAATCATGGCTGATATCTAAATCGATATATAGAAAAAGGAAATATGGTTTTGATGAATGAAGAATGGAACCAAAATAGAGAACCTTTCTAGTAGAAGGAAGTAATATCTTGCTAGTAGTTTTGAACAAAGTCAAGGATCGCATTTTACAAATGAGGAAGAGTTTAGAATTGAGACGAAGTTGTTTTTCAAGATGTCTAATTCTCTGATAACTATTGTTTATCTTATCAGTATGAAATGCAATATCGACTACCTTCACGAGGACAACTTGTTTTTCAAAAAAGGAATCGTTTCAACTTCGAATCATATAACTCTCAAAACATTAAGGTCTTTCAAATATAATATATTTAACGAATTAAGAACATAATTGCGAAAAAATATTGAAGCACAACGGATAAAAATCAATATTTCGACGCCGCCCCCGCTTTGCTAAATAAGGTCAACTTTCTTCATTTCTCACCGAACACGGATGTTTTTTTCAAATATTTATTATACTGTTTTGTAAAATGACATTCGTTGTACTGATGTATATACAAATGATAAGAAATTTAATAAAAACGAGATGGAGTAGAATGAACGGGACGACCACATGAGTACCTATAATGAGGATCAATGCATGGAAGTGGGATCATCATTACCTCTCGTTGATGGTTCGAGCAAAAGTGTTGGTCACTGTAGCTAACTAATTCCAGAACAATCTCAGCTAGTATAGCTATCGTATACAACTTGATTGAAAAGCTATAGAAAGAAAGTATTTGAACTTGAAGTTTTTGACTTACTGGCTGATAAAACGATTCATCCACATCTGAGATATAGGCTCGTGTAGATAATGCTTCAACAGTATAGGTAGCTTCACTAATGCTACGGCTATGTAGATTATGAACAGGGCGACTGAAAGCAGCAAAATCACTTTACTAAATCAGTTTACAGAATAACTTACCATGAAACTTTGAAAGGATGTGTGAGTATCCTCCACACATCTTAGAATTACTCCATAGTGTGCTCAAGACGATTGCAGTAGTAGCATGGATGATGTTGGATAGTGTAAATCCTATTGTAAGGATATGGGTGAATCTATGAATGAAGATATAGAGCTTATAAAGCAAAAGAGTATTACTTGTTAGTTTCGAGGGCTTTTTCGGAAGTGGACATGATCAAGGAAGTTATATTTTCTCAGTTAATATAGTAACTGTTATCTGATGTGACAGTCTTGACGGAAGCATCGTTTGTATCAGGCGGTGCACGGAAGAGCAACATCATCATGGATCTAATTATGAATTGTTTTTGAGCAAAAAAAGAAAACAAAAACTCAATAAACCTTATAAGATCAAACTGTTTTTTCAATCATGTTTTGTACATTCTGAAAAACCGACATATACTAATCTTTCAATACACAATTTTAGTAAACAACCGCATTCAACCGCTTCATTAGCAGAAATGAGGATTTTCAAATTTTCACGTTTTGACGCAAAATTTGCATATTCTCTTTATCGAAGTGTCATAACTATATAGCTGGCTGACATTACTGTTTTATAAAGATGTATGCATTTTCGCCAGGCTTTCTTACTATCAACAGGCTAGGCTCAATAGATCTAGTTTATGAAATGATTCTCCGTATATGATATAGGCACACATGGATAACTGCCAAGAGGATGACGACACTTCTTTAACAAACTGTTTGGCGTTTTCTCCCACATAAACCTTCTTCTAAACTTTTCTTCTTCGAATTATTATTAATAGTGGGAATATTGTTGTTACAATGCTATGAAAAAGCTATTACGCCCATGTAATTGCTTCCTTTTATGAAACTCAAGTATGACCGAATGGTACGTAACGTATGCAAATTCTAATAGAGGAGATACCTTCCGACAACACTCTAATTATAAGCTTCATATATCTGGACTGTGAGTCTCTTAATAGATTCATCTCTATCTCTCTTTCTGATGCATGTTTTTGGTTTTCTGATTATTTATTAGCTGTTTGTGTGTGGCATTGTCCTTTACTCGAACCTCTCAAACACCTACTGTGTGTATCATGAGTTATATGATAGAATGTCGAACCTATCAACGGTTTTGAGATTTCCATGAAAAGATAATAGTTTTTTCTATTCAAAACAAACATGTTCGAAAGCGATTAGAATACGTTGCAACAGATGAGTAAGTCTGAGCCAGTGGCACATTACGTTCAATTTCAACAGTGTGTCTTAATCGAAGAAAATATACTACAACTAGGATATCTAACTGGAATGAATATTCAGTTCCCATAAGATGTGATGTTCTTGAAATTATTGCGAATACCATTTGTTACGAGCGATTCGCGTGCCAACACTGGTTATTATTTTGAGAAGAGCCAACGAAATTATTCAGCAATAATATGAAAGCGCTTGTTACCCGTTGATTTTCGAAAAAAAAAACTCGAGCTAAACACTCTCTTTTCACGTGAATAGCTGTTTTCTTGTTACTCGTAGTGTCAATCACTTGCTATGAAATCATGACATGAAAAACTCAGAAGTTTGAGTTCTTCCAATTAAGTATTGATGTCTTTTGACGATTTCGAATATCTTGTGTGTGTGAATAACCTTTTGGAATAAACTTACTAACATGGCAACTCTGATTATTCGCAAAATCTCAAACATTCTAGGTGGTAACTCTAACCACAGTGATATGGCGATAGATGAGTTGATGAAGACGAAGGATTGTTTCAGTAAGATTGTAAGTTCGAGTCAAGTAGTAGTAGGAATGCTACAACCATTTCAGCATGTGAGAACAGCTCTTCTCCATATTGGACTGGTTGTTACATGTATCACATATATTATCTGTGGAGCTTATGTTTTTCAAGTCGTTGAAAAACCGATGGCTATGAAAATAAAAGAGAAAGCTCTGAGTCAATATGAGTCTCTTACTTCGGTAATCAGAAGTCCCCCCTAGTCTCTTGAATTGACTGAGTTATAGCGTTTGCTTCACAACTTCACCTCTAGAAACCAGACGAATGTTGAGAAAATTATGGAGGAATACATTGAGTCGTTGTTCTTTCTGTTCGATAAACCCTATTATGCTCACGTATGTCAATCATTCAAGAACCATGAGAATGTTTCTTTAAGATTTTCGAAGCACATTATACTAACAGCAGTGTAGAGAGCGACTTATGGACGTTTTCAGATGCAGTACTTTTCACTACAACCACCGTCATTCCTGTTGGTGAGTTGTCACTCTGATTGAAATACTTTCTGTACATAATATCTAAATGTTCTTCTCTCAGGTTATGGATTTATTTGGCCTGCTACCCCTACAGGAAGGATATTAGTGATCATATACGGCATGGTGGGAATACCTCTAGCACTTGTAACCATGGCAGATACCGGCAAGTTCTTGAGCCAGTTAGTGACAAACTGGTTTGAAGAGGTAATGTTTTGGCAACTTCATAGTTAACATACTGCATTGTAGTCAATAACCATACCTACGGTGCTATTCTTATCATTGCTGTTCTTCTACCCCATACTAGGAGGACTAGTGTTCCACTATTATGCAGATCTTTCATTCTTGGATGCAACTTACTTCTCACTCACTTCTATTTTCACCATAGGCTTCGGCGACATAACGGTAACCATTAGGAATAAACAGAATTATCTCTTCTTTTAGCCTAAAATTAATATTATTCACTTGGTCATGTTCATAGTTTTCGGAGTTATTTTGGTTACCATCACTATAGACTTCGTTGCTGCAGAGATGATAGACCATGTTCATTACATGGGAAGACATGTGGGCAAAGCTAAAGAGCTTGCAGGCAAAATGTTGCAAGTCAGTTATTCTTGGAATTTCAATACAATGTATTTCACTCATTAGATGGCACAGTCAATTAACATGAACAAAGGCATTTCTGGTCTCACCGCAGGCATGAATCAACTGCAAGCTTTGGCCCGCATGGGATTACTAGGCAAAGTGGATAAAGAGGTTTACCATATCTCTTTATGAGCAATTATTCATCTTTGTAGACACTCGAAACTGGCCAACCAGTGAGTGCATTCGCTCCGGTACTCGATGATGTAGACTTTGTGGATCGAGCTTCCATATACGCTAGTAGATCAGATATAGACGCATCTCCGCCTAATGGGAGGAATTTGTTTTTTTGATTAATAAGTTCAATAAATGCTGTTCCCCATCGCTAAGAACAGTATAAGCTAATTAATCCTTTATTCGAACTGTTCTACATTAACTATCTTACTGATCGTTGGCGAAATCAGCAGGGTTCTTGCGGTTGGC